CCAAGGCCAGCTGGCCTGGGTCTGAAAAAGCCTGGGATAAAACCGATCTCGCTGAACATAGCGGACAATGAGGACTACTGAGAACTCAAGAACAATGGCAATGGGTTTTTGATCCTACTGCACATATTGGATTTGTGGGAGCCTAGGCAGTTTGGATGCTCACCTTACTAGACCTGGATGGAGGTGGGTGGTCCTTGGACTTCCCACAGGGCAGGGAACCCTGATTGCTCTTTGGGCTGACGAGGGAGGGAGACTTGGTTGAGGGAGGGGGAGGGAAAGGGGAGGCGGCAGTGGGGAAGAGACAGAAATCTTTAATTAATTAATAAAGAAATAAATAAATTAAAAAAATAAAATAAAACGTTTTGAAAGGAGAACAACCAAAAGCAGCTTTACATTTTAAGCAAGGGTCAACAAACTTGTTCTACAAAGAACCAGTCAGTTAGTAAATAACTTGGAGGGTCACATATAGTCTTTGCTGCTGTCATCTTTAACAATTTCTTTAAAATGTAACACCAAAACCAAAACAAGAACCCCATTTGACCCATGTTGTTAACTGACTCAAGGCAAATGAACCCAAGACAAGAATACAATGGGACAGAATACAATGCCCAAAAGTGTTCTGCTGGCAATTAGCATTGACAACTACCAGTGTGGGGCTACAAAAATGATTTCATGAGTTATTTCACACGTGGAAAGAATGTTAACGACAGGGTGCACTATGATCTCTTGACCTGAAACTCCAGGCCTGGAAGAAAGGGCAAAGGCTATGTGCCAAGTTATCCCCATACAGAGTCTCTCAGGACTATTTCCCTTAACAGAATGCTAGTCAAAGTGGAAACACCTTACCTTCCCACATACACACGCACAAACCTAATGCACAAAGTGGAATTACTCTCTGGAAAATGTCTTTACAGAGAGGATCACACTCATGTGCAGTGACAAAAGGCTAAAGACTTGGATTTGAAGCTTCACCGATAATTCTACTGAAGGTAGTTTTGCATTTGTAAAGCTGGGACAGGGCATAAAGGAGATAATTTCTACAACTCTCTCTCTGATGTCAAACAATGACTATACTAAATAATGAAACCACTCAGGAAATACTTAACAGGAAGAAGGGGGCAGGGAGGAGGAGAGGCAGCAAAGGGACTCGGTTTAGAAGGCCCCATTACAGGGCAGAGTACCGTTCTCTCTCTCTTCTACCAGCACCTTGTTCAATACAAGGCCATTTCAAGATGTCAGGGTGCCTTCGAATCAATTAAAACCACACACATCCCACAGGAAATATAACATATAGTAAATACTATCACTATTTCCTACTGTCTTATATTTAAAGATATTTATCTAAGTGTTAATTATGATTATGTAAGGGATGGGGCAGGAGTCAATCAAAACTTTTTCAATTTTCCAATATAAACTAGAAAGCTAGTTAGTTGGTCTGCGGTATTACACTTGTAATTCCAAGAGGCTAAAGCATCCTTACTCCATGGTTAGCAGGTATTACCTGACTGATAGAGCAGAAGATTCCCAGTAAGCCACATGAAAGAAAAGCTACCTTTACCCTGCCAAAGTACAGAAAGGACTCAAAGTCCCAAGCCTTAGGGAAATGAAAAGTATATGAGACAATTTTATCCGGAACCAAAACGACTGTCTCCTCTTTCATGACACCAGAACCCCCATCCACACAGCCTAAGGATGGAAGAACCTCATTTTTAAAAACACTGGCAAGACACAAAATGAAAGCATGCCTTCATAGTAAAAAGCAGACACGGGACCTATCTGCCAAACACACACAAACCCCAGGCCTTCAGAAGGACTCTCTCCTGGGGTGTGGTGCTTATCAAGTCTGTCAACAGCGTCACAAGAAGATGACAAGCCCAGCCATAGAAAACTCTAGAGTTTACACAAATGGACACTTAAATTATGGTGGGAAAAGATGGGTCACCAACTGTCACCTCGACCCCCTCAGATCACCTGGAGATGCAGTCTGGGGTCTGGGAGGAAGTGGCATGGCTGCTAGAAATGGGTTTGCCGGCAGCGAGGGGCGGTGGGACTTTTCACTAGAGTGCTGCGAACTTCACCCCACTGTTCGAGCATAGCTGCAACTGCAAAGCATTTTAGTTTCAGCTCTAGAAGGTGTCTGGCTGTCTGCTACCACATCCGTGGGAGCGCTGGGCCTAAGCAAGAGGCATGGGATCTTCCCCTCCTCCATAGCAACTGAAGAACAGCTTGAAGCTTCTTTTTCACCCCATTCGCCACACAGAGAGTACAAAGACCAAGAGTTCCCATGAGATTCACCACGGAAAATCTATCTCCTAATCTAAGCCATCGAAGGACACTGGTTTTAATAACTGCTATTTCAATCACTAAAAATAATCCACTCAGAAAAGAATCTAGTCCTTCACTGTGAAATGTAATATACTACACATACACATACACAAAAGCATAGTAAGGGGAGGGCTTAAGGGATTAAGTCCTGCGCCTCACCCATGTTAAGCATATACTGTATAGTATATGAGTATATACAGTATACTGAATTAAATCCCTAGCCCAGAAAAATAATTTAAAAAAAAAATACTATGTTAAAAAAAAATACTACGTTTGTATAGTAAATATCCTTATTGGAAATGTGGAACAAAGTGTGGAGGGGAGGGGGATGAACTGAGAGGTAAATGTATTGTGGGGGAATTCAAAGAATTTAACAAACTGTATCAGTGAAATTTATTCATTTTCTTTTTTTTCCTTTAAAAAGGTTTATGTGTACTGTGTGCACCTGTGTTTGAGATGAATACATGTGAATGGAGCTGTCCAGAGACTAGAAGTGAAGTCAGTTGCTCTGCAGTTGAAGTGACAGGCCTACGGGTATTGGTGAACCACCTGATGCGGGCGCTGGGAACTGAACTCGGGTCCTCTAGAAGTGCAGCAAGCACTCTCAACTGCTGAGCTACTCCTCTTGCCCATTTTTACTCACTTTCAAGGCAGGAGGAAACCCTGAGTGAATGCCACACAGAATAGACAGAGGCCTCCCCACTCAACTTGTTAGGCCTGTCCTTTACCATCTGTACTGCAGTATGCAATGGGCACTGAACCAGAGTTATTTGGGGTTTTGAAATTGATACCAAAAATTAATGTCCTTTGGTAGCTATACCAGCTTCCACCAAGCCTCTTACAAATACACTTGCGAGATGCAAGATGACATTTAAAATCTGCTTCCTCAGAAAAGAAAAGTCCCACTCAAGACTAACTGCCAAGAACTTGCAACTCAAACTTCCTTAAGCTCAGACATCACAACACCCAGATTTCCATTCAGACTGTATGAAAGAAATCAGAAGAAAACAATATACCCACTTAAAAGAATATACAACTAATTAAACATAGATTTGTTCTTCTGTTTTTTAATTCAAGTATATGAATGTTTTTTTACGTGTGCCCATGTAAATGTCTGGTCCCCACAGAGGCCAGAAGAGGGTGTTGGATCCCATGGAACTGGAGTTAAAGGCAGTTATGAGGTGCCAGGTGGGTGCTGTGAACAAAACCTGGGGCCTCTGTAAGAGCAGCAAGTCACTGAGGTAACTTTCCAGCCACTTGACCATACTTATTACCAACACACTGGTTCCCCATTACTTGTGGCTCACTTGGAAAACCATTTGAAAAGTTAACTAAGCTAGTACTGGAGACTAGAAAGATCACCCAGGCAACCAAACAGCTGATACTTAGGGAACTTAATTGACTGCAGCTATTTAACAAGGAGAATGATGTTAAGGTTATTCTACCGAAAGCTTAAAACAAGTTTTGATTTGCTTTTCAGGTTGATAAGTTAAAGATCCGGTTACCTGCACACAAACGTCTTTAACTACAGATATAAGAAGGACAGCTCCCAGGGACGAGTGGAAAATGTTTTTTCTTGAAGTAATTGGGAAACATATAGAATGCTGTGATTCACCTAAAAAGTAATTAGAGTCAAAGAAAACTATATAGGGAGGCAGGTGGAATATGAGCTCAATCACGTGTCTTGGATGTTATTAAATACTCAAGCTCAAGAATTTAAAAAGTTGAGACACACTGCTTCCCAAGATGCAGAGCGAAGGGGTGAACAATACATTTCTGAGCACATCATCCCAAAAGTCGTCAGCCCTCTTAATACCTATTAACACGCAGAAGAACTTAACACTCCATAGACGTTACCCCATCATTAGTCACTTTTAAAATCTTGATTCAAAGAAGTCAAGAGAAAATGGGAACCAGCGCTCCCAGTTACTGGGGAAAGTCCTGCGCCCCACGTTTTCCATTTCCTCTCTTTTCTCTGCTCAGCCCCTGCACTACGTCGGCTGCTTCCCCTTCTCCTTTCTAGCTAACACCCAGCTCTCCTTTACTTTCTCCACCAAGTAGCCTCATGCTGCCCTCTGGTCCTCCTGAGCCCTCTCCCATTCACAATTTCCTTCTGCATTTTCTCTTGGCATCTCTGCGCACACCTTTACAGCCAATGTCGCTTCATTCCTTGCCTCCTGAACATTCATTCATTCCCCCCAATTCCCTTCTGACCGCCTAGTCTCACTTCTCTCGTCTCTGGTGTCCTCTGTCCCTTGACTTCATTTGAAGCCCCTCTTAAGTCCGCAACCCTTCATTTCCCCCTTCACGTTTCCTTCCTCTTTCCTGTCTTTCTAATCCATGTTCATATCCATTCTACCCCTCCTTCTCTCTTTCCGTACAATTTCCTGTGTTCCCCCGACTCTGTCCCTCTGGGACCCCTCTGCCGCCGCCCCGGAGCCCCCTCGTGTCTCCAACACCTCTGGTTCCCGACCGTTCTGGTTCCCCGTCCTCCGCCCGCAGCCCCGCGTCCCCGCCCGCCCCTCTCGCCCTCGCCCTGCCGGCTCGCACTGCCCTCTCGGCGGCCCCCGGGGTCTCCCTCCCGGGGCGTCAAGCCCTCGCGTGCCCTCTCCCAGGCCCCTGGGCATCCGCCCCCGTGTCTCAGCTCCTGTCCCGGGCCGCGGCCGCTCCCTCACCGATGGTGGAGATGAAGGTGGTGTTGAAGGCGTCCTCAGAGAAGCGGAACAGGAGGCAGGTTTTGCCGACGCCGGAGTCGCCGATGAGCAGCAGTTTGAACAGATAATCGTACGTCTTCGCCATCTTCTCGCTCCGGCCCTCTCTGACCGCGGAGAGCAAGGAGGCGGTGGAAAGAGGCGCGGAGGGGGCCTAGGGCGAGGGGGCGTGTCCGCCGAGCCGCCCGCGGCCCGCCCCGCCTCTAGCCCCGCCCCTTGGAAGGGACCGGCGCGCCCCGCCCTGCCCCGGCCAATCCGCCAGCGTTTTGTCATCATCTTCCGCGACACGAGGCTTTATGGGATTTGTAGTACTCTGGGAGCGCCTCGGGCGTGCCTGGCCGGGCTGTCGAAGTAACCCCGATGGATAACAAAATCTGCATGATGTGGAACGTGCACTAGGAGTTTCCTCTCTTGCTGGGAAAAGACACTTTGTTTTGACTTCCTCTTCTCTCGCCTTGGGAACTTGACTTTGTCGTTTCTTTGTTCGTGGGGACCTTTCAAATCCAAGACTTCGAAATCTGAGTCCCTCAGTTCGCGTTATCTACTCGCCTGATCCCAGAGCAAGGAAGCTTTCTTAGTGATGCGGTGGTCCTCAAAATCTGCGGATTATCTGTAGAGTATTATCCTGCTTCTCCAGTTTCTGCCCGGGTTCCTAGGTCCCCTTCCACAGCCCTTCAATGATAGATCTCAAGAGAGTGATATTACCCTGTGCAGTTCATCCCCACTCATGCCCTCTGAACGACAGGCCACAGCCAAATAGGATGATTATTTTAAAGGATCTACCTCAGAGACAGCGCCCCACTACCCGTAGGAGGATGGATTTTTTTTATTTTTTTAGAACGAGAAAGAGAATGTGGGAAGACTTGTGCTACAGCTCTGTGTCACGTAAAATAGCATCACCACAGACGGGAACTTTGGCCATGAAGATGTAGAGGGTAAGATTTGGATTTAGTCTTGGCTAAGCCATTTCACCGCTGTGTGAAGTCTAACAGGCTTGGCACTTCTCAGTTTTCTCATCTGTAAGACAAACAACTTCATAGGGTTATAGTGAAAATTAGATACTGAATGTGAAAGCACCTTGAAACTCGTAAGGTGCTGTGAAGTGTAGGTGTTAGCTGTGTTTAAATTTATCACTCCTCGGGAGGCTTTCAATTAATGGGGTGGCAAAAGGAAGGGAGGAAACAGCACTTTGATGTATTCAATTCAAGCCTTCATTATTTATTACCTTAGACTAATTCTTTATTGTTCGGTGCTCTTTTATCTGCAGGTGGCAGAAACCCAGCCAGATCAAGCTGCTGTGAGAGAAGGGTTTACTGTCCAGGAAGGAGTAGGTGAGGGAAACCAGCTTTATCATGTCAGAAATCTCCATCCCACGTCTGCTTCATTTTCAATTTTAATTTAAAATGTCAAATATCAACAGCTAACACAGCCCCGACACACACACACACACACACACACACACACACACACACCAGCAAAAGTTCTTTGGATTCCTCAATAATTTTTAATAGAATTAAGGGGACCCTGCTGGACACCAAACTATCTGAGAACCACTAGGACAAATACTTACCTTAGAGGCAAGGAAATACCTTCTAGCAGAGGTTGTTACAGGAAGCAGTGGACTTAATCATTAGTGGAAGAAAAAGGAAAAAAACTTGACCCGTTAATTGATCAAGTCCGCAAACTCTTCTGGGATGTATGTGGATGCCTGTGACCCTATGTACAATATCAGTGATGTTGCATGTCTGGTCCTATTGTTGCAGAAAATTTAGTTGGCTCTAATGACCTTTGCTTTCTATGTGGAGAGAAGATGAAAAGCATCATTAACTCACACTTATTGGTCACACAGTACCCAGAGAGCAGAAGCTGCTTCTGCTACTTAGTATCTAATATCTAAAGTATTCCTTACATGACTGCCCTCACCGTCATGGTTCTGAGGAAAGACTGAACTCCCTTTGAGGAAGGAATCCCTTCCCTCTGGCAGAGACTGAACTTCTTCGCCCGAGCCAACTTCTGGAGCATGCCTCCGAACTTGACTTCACCCAGGGTCTAAACAGTTGTGGGTGACTCAGTTCCATTCCTTGGTCCTCATTCATAGACTAGAAGGACGTCTTCAGAGACCACTGGAATCTGTTTAATTTCTCTGTTTTTTAATTTAACTTTTTCATGTTTATTAGCATTGTGTGCGTATGTGTATGTGCAGGTGGGGCTATGTATGTATGTGTATGTGCCATGGCCTATGTGAAGAGATCAGAGGAAAATATGTAGTTGGAATCTCTCCTTCCATGTTTACTTAGGTTTGGGGATTAAACTCAGGTCATCAGACTTGTATGCTGAGCCACCTCACTGACCTTCTTCTTTCTTTTTAAGGATTCATATATATTGAAATACTTCGGAGGCAGGGGAGCTGAAAAGATGACTCAGTGGTTAACAATTCTGGCTGCTCTAAGAGGACCCTGGTTAGGTCCCCATCACCCATGTGACACAATCATCCATAACTTCAGTCCTAAGGGACCCAATTCCCTCTTCTGGCCCCTGTGAGAACTGCACACATGTGGCATCGTGCGTCTGTAGTCAAAACACCCATACATATAAAAAATGTTAAAGGAACTATCTTTTGGTTTCAGTAACTTGACAGCCATGTCTGCTGCTGCCATTCTCTCTCTGTGGAAAGGCACGTACTTACACAGTAAACAACTAATCCAGAAGAGAAGTGAGAGCTAAGAAATTTTAAGTCCCTAAATTTCCTTAGGGGAATTTTGTTCATTAAAGGGAATTTTTAAAAAATAATAATTCTGTAATATTTTCAGTTATTCAGCTTTTTTCTACTGCTGACTATATACAATATCGAGACTTTCTAGTCCTGCGTTTGTACACCAGCGGTGAACTATTCAGGCATTTTGATATATTGAAATCTTTAAAAAATCGTATTTTTCTTTCATTATGCATTATTAATCCTCAGATTTTGTACACTGGTATGTTAGAGACCAGATTTGTGGTGATAGTACTGGGTACCATTGATTCTAAGCAGTTTGCTCAAATGTCTCATCCTAAGTATAGAGTCAGGGTACAGCAGGCAATAGGTTCCTTGTTGACATTATTTTTCAATTTGATGATATTCTTTTCTAAAATGTCACATTATAGTGATCCATGGAAAACCGTTATATCCATGCTTTTTGCCGTCTTCTCAAACCCATCATCACTGTAGAGAGCATGGACTAGCACATTCAACTTGATTAAGAAAATGTTGGCTAAAGCCTTCTGTACTGTGAGTGTTGTAGATAAAAACTGAATACATACAAACTCTCAGGTGTTTGCCCTGTGTGTGTTTCATGACCTGAACAGTCTCTCTTCCTGACTCTAGAAAGCTCTTCTTTCCTCACTGGTGACTGAATCAACACACACACACACACACACACACACACAGAGTCATGATTCTTCTAGACACAGAGAAGGCACCTCATCCAGACCGCATCAGTCTGAGTTCTTCCTTGTGGACTTTCTAATGAAGCAGATAATAATACCAAAAGGATCTGGTGTGAGTGTGAGCCTGACTTCCTGTCTGGCTTTGCTCGTGATGGTAAACCGTTGCCATGTGTACACATTCAGGGGTATTGCTGTCTCCTGTAGTGGTTATTCTTTGGACGACAAGGCCCCCCAACCACAAGCAACTCTGACATTCTTGAAAGACACTGTATTATTTGTGCAAAATTTTCAGTATAAGTTAAGAATTTGTTTTGAGCCTCGCAGTGGTGGCACACATCTTAATCCCAGCACTTGGGAGGCAGAAGCAGGTGGATCTCTGAGTTTGAGGTCAGTCTGGTCTATGGAGTGAGTTCTAGGACAGCCAGAGTTGCACAGAGAAACCTCGTCTTGAGAAACCAAAAGCAGAAAGAATTTGTTTTGAAATGTGTGTATATACATTGTGTAGGTGTGTGCACATGTTTGTGTGTATGTTGGGGGGCAGTACATGCTACAGTGTACATGTGGAGGTCAGAGGACAACCTCAGATGGCAGTCCTTGACTTCATCTTGTTTGAGGTAGTCTTGTTATTCCTTCTGCATGTACCAGGTTAGCTTCATGTACCAGGTAGCATGTACACGTGCCCTTCTAGGAATAGTCACGTGTCCGCTTGTCATGGGTGCACTCTGAGATTACAGATGCACGCTACCGATGCTACACCCAGATGTAAGTGGGTTCTGTGGATCTGGACTCTAGTCTTCACATTTGCATGGCATGTACTTCATCCACTCAGCCTTCTCCCCAGCCCAAGAATTTTGATTTGTTGATCCATGACATTTGAGTATGAAAAATGCTTTATTAAGGGAAACTAAATGTGGGTGAGACCTCTACTTGACAAAGTAGAAATTGGTCACTATGGGGATTTTCCCTCCTCCTGGTTGTATTCTAGAGGAACCCGGGTGCTTACATGGGCCTGATATATTAAGGGTAAGTAGCCTCTGGGCCCATGAGACTGTACCCTCCATGTTGATGATTCCCATGAGCTACTCTTGGGTGCTGGCCCTCTGCCACTGGTTGAATACAGCTGGCCTGGTGGACTACAGAGATGTCCTTCATGGTCACTATCCTCCCTGACCGATTACTCAGCTGTGGTGTAAGTCCTTTCTGTGTAATGGAATAATTTGTATTCATCTTTGTCTTCTCACTTCAGTCTTAAAACTCTTCTAGAGTTCTTGTCTCCCCAAGATACCCTGCTGGACACTTTATACACAATAGGTGCTTGGGTAAGTTATTGAATTAATGAGCGAACATCTGTCAGTCATGCCAACCAGTACAACTAACTTAAAAAAAAAAAACTTTTAGGGAGAACTTGGGTTTTTTTATTGGCTAAAGGACTACATCCTTTGAGCCTCATCAGTATCTTTCTATTTATACTCTGCTTTGCATTTCTTATTTGTTCTGTAATTGCACTATTCATTGTTGTGTTTAAGAAATCAGTTTGATTATATATTCTTTCTCTGGTTTGTCAAGATCACACTGAAAGATAAGGCCTTAAAAATACCAATTCCCTTATCACCTGCGTGTCATCTGCAAACATTCCATTTGTTTAGTGATATTCTGCTGGTATAATTCTATAATTATCCTCATCAGAGAGAGACAAGCTGTACTCTTCCACCCACTGATATTTCCTGAGCAATCACCAGGTTAAT